AAAAAAAAAAAAAGAATGGATCACAAGAAGTGCGGCCCACCTTGTCCTCTTATGTATAGAAAGCTCTATAAGATCTCTGGACAGATGTCCGTAGGAGAAAGGCACCTGGCCTTCAACTACCTTGGCAATGCTTTCCCAGCTTTCCCTCGAAACTGCTTTGCTATAACTGTATCAAAAATTCCGACTCCAGGAGTGGGCACTCACCCTGTGGCGCTGGACCTTTTGTTCTCCATGCTGGACAGAGAGAAAGAAACAATCCAGGAAGCTCCTCCTGCACCGCCTTTCCTAACTGTACGCCACCAGGGTGGTGAGGGCACCCACATCTCTCAGGCCCAGAGGAAGGGGCTGACAGGACGCCCCCTACCCCAGGACCGGAAAGGCCAAGAACCAGAGACGAGTCAAGGGCAGTGCAGAGGAGTGGCACAGGCCCTAATCCTGTCACTAGAGGGGTCCCATGAGGTCCCTAAAGCGGAAATGGGGAGCCTTTATGGGGAAGCGGAAATGGGAAGCCTTTATGGGGAAGGGGAAATGGGGAGCGGAAATAGGCAAAGGCCAATCCCCCAGGCCAGGGTGCACAGAAAAGGAATTTGAGGACGTATCAGTAGGAAACATAAGGAGGTTTATTGGGGAAAATGTTGAAGTCCACACTCAGAAACGAGTTTTGCCCCAGAGAGGGAGCGGGAGGCCACGTGTGGCCTCAGCTGGAACTTAGAGTGGAGATTTGCCCAGCTCATCCATCTAATGGGGACTCCGTTTACAGATGAAGGCCGGGGCCTCCCTCTGGGGCCAGGGCGATGGCCCATTCTTATTTGACAGCCTGGAGCCATCACAAGGGAAAACCCCATTTTCCAGGTGAACCAGGACTGTCTATTCACGGTGAAAAAGGCCCATTTATAGGCAAAGGAATGCCCAGGTTTTTTTTGGGGGGGGGTGGTTTCCGGTACTGGGAATCGAACTCACGACCTCGCGCTTGCCAGGCAGGCGCTGTGCCGCTGAGCTAAATCCCCAGCCCCAGGAATGCCCACGTTTACTGAGTCTTTCAGGACCTTAGGAATTTTTGACGGTTTGTGTCGCGAAGCTACAGTTTTTATTAAAATCCAGTTTTAAAATTACGATTTCCTTTGTCTCCTATCTTTATTTCTTCTATCCAACCTCAATCCTACCTCAATCGGGAGGCTGAAGCGGGAGGATCGTGAGTTCGCCGCAAGTCTGGGCTACACAGCAAGCTCACGCCCAGCTGACTACGTGGCCTGACAGCTCAAAAAAAAGCCTTTGTGAAGGCCGGTGTTGCTCCCGGTTCGGGCATAGTTCGCAGGTCCCTTTGCGTCCCTGTCTTGCAAGAATCCGCAAGTTCCCGAGTCCCCATTCCTGCATGGCCACTGGGGCGCGCCCGCGGACTGTCCCGCCTGCCCACATGCGCATGCGCGAACACAATGGCGCGCGCGACAATCGAGGTTAGGTGGTGCATCGGCCAGCAGAGGGCGCGCCATTCGAGCGCGGCGCTCAGCCTGGGCGGGAGGAGTAATGAGGCGCGCGACAGCGAAAGAGCAGCTCAAACTACGCAAGATGGCGACGCGAAAGAGCGTGTGAGAAATGGGACTGGCTCTGCGCACCCCGCACCGGAAAGTGAAGATGGCTGCGTAAAGCCTCATCGCCCGCGGGTGGCTTTCACAAGTCGTGGTTTAACGGGCGTCACCTCTGTCGCACGTTTCCGGGAAAGTGCGTGAGCACTTCCGGGTCGACTCACTTCCGGGTCGACTCGCTTCCGGGCGGGGGAGCGGGCTCTGAGCCGCTGTGCGAGTCCAGCCACGCCCAGGCGTGCGTCCGCCCCCAGCTGCCGGGAAAGAGAGGGTTTATTGTTGGAAAGGGAGACATTAAAGCTATGTGGATTAGAGTAGCACGAGTTAGCATATCATTCACGAAAGTTCGGAGGTGCAGCCGGTGCTGTTGGAGGCTCACACCCCGGAGTCAGGTGTGCGTGCTGATAAAGGGGCTCCGTGTGAGATTTACTACAAGAGTTTGGAACTCTGCGATTCCCACAATTTTTTAAAAGATTAGGGGCTGGGGATTTAGCTCAGTGGCTCAGCGCCTGCCTGGCAAGCGCAAGGTCGTGAGTTCAATTCCCTGTACCGGAAAAAAAAAAAATTAGAAGACTGCATATATAAAGCCGGGCGTGGTGGCGCACGGGATAATCCCAGCACTCGGGAGGCTGAGGGCAGGAGGATTGTTGCGAGTTACAGACCAGCCTGGGCTACAAAGTGAGCTCAAGGCCAGCCTGAACTGCACAGCAAGACCCTGTCTCAAAAAGACAAAAAAAAAAAAAAAAAAAAAGACTGCATATCTCAAGCCTTGTGCATAATATACAACTTTCAGATTTCACTTTTATGTTGCTTTGAGACACTCTCGCTATGCAGTTCATTCAGGCTGTCCATGAACTCACTATGGAGCCGGCGCTGGCCTTAAACTCCGTGTGATCCTCCTGTCTCCTCCTGGGTACTGGGATTACATTATTTTAAAATTGCACGATTTAACTCCCCGGAATGTGACAGGCAACTCCAGCTCTGCACGGTGTGTCAGGAATTCCAGGCCAGCACAAGACTCAGATTCCAGGTGACCACAACACATTAATGTGAGCGGGCAGAGAGAGCCCAAGATTGGCCATGAGCCCTCTTGTCCAAAATTGCAGCACCCACAACAGCTGTGCAGCAGGACCGGCGCCCATTCACACTGCTCTGACACTGTCTGTGACTGATGGCTATCACCTGTCCCTTCACAAGGAGACAGAAACATGTGTTGTATGGCCCTGTCGCCCATGGTCTCCTGCCATGGGTGGTTACAGAGCACTGACACCTCTATCTGGATCTCAATGCAAAGGCCGTGGACCATAAAACAAAAAGATCTAGTATTCTGTAAAACTAAGCTTCTCCCCTACTGTCAGTAGTTACTGAACAAGATCTGTTTTTGATATAGTCATAACATAGGAACCGCAATAGGGGTGGGGAACAGGCAAAATCCTGGGCCCTACCCTGCTACTCATTAAGAGCATGATTTGTGTTTTCTTCTGTGACAGTCAGGAACTTAAAAGCCATTTTGTTATGAGCCAAGACTCTTCACTTCACTTGGCCTACAGATGCTCAACAGATAAACAAAGGCAGGCTAAAACTTCACCATTTTGTATCTTTTTTTTTTTACCCCAGGTACCAGGAATCAAACTCAGGACCTTCAGCTTGCCAGGCAGGTGCTGTGCCGCTGGGCTAAATCTCCAGCCCTGTATCCTTTGTTACCTTAAAACTTTGGACCAAATCCCTTCACAGCTCTACAGACAGACGTGTTAGGCACTTAGGGAGGGTCTGTCCAAAAGTTGATAAAACCAGGTCTACTGGCCCTGAATTTACATAATCTCATTGTCTTGAAAATTAAAGCCCCGGGATGGGGGATTTCCAGGGACACTCAAGATTGCTCAGAATTCTGCTGTGAGTCTGTCAGCACCTGCCTGAGACCACAGAGATAAACCTTTCCTGCAGAGGAGAAAATTCTCAGACATGAGAATGCCTGGCATGAGAAATGCTCAGGCATGAGAATTTCAGAATCAGGACACCAAGACTGAGATACGCTGCCCACTAGAAAAAGTTTCATAACCAAGCAAGGGTATCTATTATCTCCATTATTTTTATTTTTTATTTTTTGGTTTTGGTTTTTTTCTGGTACCAGGAATCGAACTCACGACGTTGCCCTTGCCAGGCAGGCGCTGTGCCGCTGAGCTAAATCCCCAGCCCTTAGTATGTCCATTATTAAGATTTTTTTTTTTGAGACAAGCATCTGCTACATAGTACAGGTTGACCTTTAACAGGCGGATCCTCCTCCCTCAGCCTCCCAAGTGCTGGGATGACAGATATACACTACCATGTTTGGTTCCAAAATTTTTATCAGTACAATAATTAAAAAAAAACGAAAGTGTTAGGGCTAGGAGTGGGGTTCAGTGGTAAAGCACATGTTTAGTTTGCTCAATGCCTTGAGTTCAGTACCCAGGACCAAAGGGCACTGGTGGGGGTTTTTTTGTTGTTGTTGTTGTTTTTCTTGAGATAGTGTTTCACTATGTTCAGGCTGGCCTTGAACTTACAGAGAGCCCCTCCTGGTCCTCATTGAGACCCAGGAAGTTTATATTTGTAATCCCAAGGAAAATTATTGGGATTCTAGTGAGTTAATTCCAATCTACCACTTCCAGTGCAACCCATGGGGAACGTAGAGACACTAAGGCATATTTGTGGTTACAGGGAGCCAAGGGGTCCGAGGCCCAGCTAGGATGATGGCTAACCAGAACGAAGACCTTGCCCCGGAACCAAACCCAGATTTTATTAATTCATGAAGAAAGGAGTGACTGTGAAAATGGTGGAACGTAGGTGAGTGCCGTGAGCTGGGCTACGTAGGAGGCCTGAAATCACCTCTGCCGTATGCAGAGAGAAGGATATGCAGAAGGAGTAATCTGCATAACACAATTGTAGTTGTGATG